CCTAGCATCAGGACCGCTACCTCCGCCTTTGTGCAAGGAGGGACAGGAGGACCACTGCCAGACCCCTGCAAATGACCTCCAGCGGGCCACAATTGTGCATGTGGCTGTTCAAATGGGCAGAAACAGACTCCATGAGGGTAGTATGAGGGCGCGACGTCCACAGGTGGGGGTTGTGCTTACACCCCAACACCATGCAGGATGTTTGGCATTTTCCAGAGAAGACCAAGATTGGCAAATTCACCACTGGCGCCCTGTGCTCTTCACAGATGAAAGCAGGTTCACACTGAGCACATGTGACAGACGTGACAGGGTCTGGAGACACTGTGGAGAATGTTCTGCTGCCTGCAACATCCTCCAGCATGACCGCTTTGGCAGTGGGTCAGTAATGGTGTGGGGTGGCATTTCTTTAGGGAGCCGTACAGCCCTCCATGTGCTCACCAGAGGTAGCCTGACTGCCATTAAGTATCGAGATGAGATCCTCAGACCCCTTGTGAGACCGTATGCTGGTGCAGTTGGCCCTGGGTTCCTCCTAATGAAAGACAATGCTAGACCTCATGTGGCTGGAGTGTGTCAGAGGTTCCTGCAAGACAAAGGCATTGATGCTATGGACTGGCCTGCCCGTTCCTCAGACCTGATCCAATTGAGCACATCTGGGACATCATGTCTCGCTCCATCCACCAATGCCACATTGCACCACAGACTGTCCAGGAGTTGGGGATGCTTTAGTCCAGGTGTGAGAGGAGATCCCTCAGGACACCATCCGCCTCCTCATCAGGAGCATGCCCAGGCATTGTAGGGAGCTCATACAGGCATGTGGAGGCCACAACACACTACTGAGCCTCATTTTGACTTGTTTTAAGGATATTACATGAAAGTTGGATCAGCCTGTAGTGTTTTTTTCCACTTTAATTTTGAGTGTAACTCCAAATCCAGACCTCCATGAGTTGCTAAATTTGATTTCCATTGATAATTTTTGTGTGATTTTTTTGTCAGCACATTCAACTATGGAATGAACAAAGTATTTAATAAGAATATTTCATTCATTCAGATCTAGGATGTCTTACTGTTTTCTGAGGTTCTCGCAGGTATTTGTATGTGGATCTTTGGTTATTTGGGTTTTCTCCCGCGTAAGATTGGAAGTATCTAGGCAATGTTTCAATGAAGTCTCATTCATCATCTTCAGGCTTGTGTCTTCGGCTCTGTGCTTCTCAGAGTGATGTGAGCTTGCAGCTGCTTCTTCCTTTTAACTGCTAGTGGGGGTGTGACTTGATTGGGTGGGGGCTTGGCTGTGTTCTGATTGGGTGGGGGTGTGTTCTCATTGTTTGGGGGTTTGGCCGTGTTCTGATTGGCTGGAGGTGTGTTCTGTTCGGGTGGGGGCTTGGTTGTGCTCAGGTTAGTCTTAGTTGCTGAGGGATTTGAGCTGGTGAGCTGTGATCCTGCTGTTTGGCTTCAAGTTTGTGGTCATGCCGCATCTTCATGGTGGGTGTCAGTTCGCTTCATGTATGGCTCAGAGGGGTTTGAAATGGGTAGTGATGCAGCTGTAGTGAGGCTTCTGGTCCGTGGTCATGTCTCATCTACTGTGTGGGTGTGAGTCTGCTTTCTACGTGGAAGTGTGGTGGTGGCATCTTGTGTGGCTCTCGTGGGTGTGGGTCTGGTGTCCTTGACTTATGACCACAATTTTATGCTATGGAAACATCTCTCTCTCTCTCTCTCTCTCTCTCTCTCTCTCTGTGTGTGTGTGTTTGTGTTTGTGTGTGCATATACACACACACACACATACACACACACAGAGTATATATATGTAGTCCTCAACTTATGACCACAACTGAGCCCAAAATGGTGATCTCTTGATCCCAGGACACTGTGATCGTCATAAATATGAAGCAGTTTCCAAGGGGCCAAATTTTGATCGTGTGACTATGGGGATGCTGCAATTGTCAAATTAGTGTGAAAAACAGCCATCTTCATTCAGTGCTGTTGTAACTTCAAATGGTCACTAAACAAATGGTTCCAAGTCGAAGACTACTTGTATGTGTGTGTGTGTACACACCTATGCACCTTCACAGCAATTGTTTTCAATCCCAGTTTCTGATGTGGCTCCTTGGGTGCGGATTTACTGTCTTCTGTAAACATTTTCTAAAGCAACTAAATCTTTTCAGCCTGCTGCTCTGGCTGCCACCCTTTGCTGCATCCAGCAGGTAGCCTCTTCTAGCGCCTGCCAAAAGAACCCTGCTGGGAAACACTTCAGCTATTATTGTGGAAGAAGTTTCCTGTCCCATCCTCTTCTTCTTCTACCCTCTCTGTACTGCTCTGCTCAGGCTTCTCCCAAAATGAGGCTTCTGTTTTGCTTGCCTTGTTTCCCTCCCGCATTATTCGGAGGGCACCGTTCATTCACAGCTTCAGAGCAAAGCTTTACACAGAGTTAGTGTTGCTTACTTCCCAGTGTCACTGCTAAGGCCTGAAACAAGGCAAATGATAATTGAAGGTCCCATTGATAACAAGTAGTATTTCCTTTCCTCAGATGGGGAATCCCCTGACAATTTCCAGTACTCTTAATAGAGTTCCACAAGTGGAATCAAAGCCTCATCCGCTTACATCTTCTCCTCATAAATAAACCATATTTGTTTTCCTAGGAGGGCACCCTCTATTTCATCTTATTGATCCAATGTAGAAAACATTAAATTACAGGAAAGGCATGCAAAACCTTAGTAAAGACAGTGGCTAGAGATCATATACTAAATCTCCCATTCCTTATTACCATTGCCACCTTCGGGGCCTTCCCCACCACCTCTTAAAGAGGCTACCCAATAAGCCAAGGGTCTTCAAATTTGGCAAGTTTAAGACTTGTCGACTTCAACTTCCAGAATTCCTGAGCTAACATGATTGGAGGAGGAATTCTGGGAGTTGAAGTCCACAAGTCTTAAACTTGCTAAATTTGAAGACCCTTGGCTTATTGGGTAGCCTCTTTAAGAGGTGGTTGGAAAGGCCAAGTGCCCGAAGATGGTTATGGTAATAAGGAGTGAGAGATGTAGTATATGATCTCTAGCCGCTGTCTGTACTGAAGGTTTGATGACTGGTTTCTGACTAAAAAGATGAGTTACCATTTTAGAAGACACCATTTCTTTGTATTGCCAGTCTGTGGAATACACGACTGGATCGAATGTGTCCCCCCCCCCCCCCCCCCCCGATGGAGTTTTTTCCAACAGACACTGGATAGCCTCCTCTTCTTTTCCAGATAAAGAAGTGAATCTTGCTATTTTTAGGAAGTTAGACCTGATGATCTCTTAGGCCCTCTTGAACTCTTGCCTTCAGAAGTTGTGCATCATTGGAGGTTTTTAAGAAGAGATTGGACAACCATTTGTCTGAAATGGTATAGGGTCTCTAGTCCAACTCTGTTATTTTGTGTTCTTGGGAAACAAATGTCTGTTACGTACTAAATAACACAAATGTATAGTTAATAGCAATAGCACTTAGACTCATGTACTGCTTCACAGTGCTTTACAGCCCTCTCTAAGCTATTTACAGAGTCAGCATATTGCCCCCAACAATCTGGGTCCTCATTTTACCCACCTTGGAAGGATGGAAGGCTGAGTCAACCTTGAGCCTGGTGGGATTTGAACTGCCAAATTGCAGGCAGCTGACAATCAGCAGAAGTAGCCTGTAGTACTGCACTCTAACCACTATGCCACCGAGGATCAGTGTTATGCTGCTTTCAAGATGATCTGATTTCATGTTGATTTATATATTCTGATTTTCTTGTTTGCCCTTGATTCCTTCCAACAAGTGAATTGGGACTTCCCAGTCTTGCCTACAGCCCTGGAGTCCCCAGATGCTTCCTTCCCTCTCTAAATACTTCACCATCTTTCTAGATCAACAGAGATTGGCTAAATGCTGCCAATTATAGCACACATATTGAGACAACCATAGGTTCCCTGGTAAAGGAGAAGTATGAAAAAGAAAAAGAAATTAACTATAACTCTGCTGATATATGGGGTGCTTGAAAAATGTGACTCTACTATTTACTGTAAACAGTTTGATCTAGATTTCCAGAAGCATTTGCAAATCAGAACTCAGCAATTCCATGTTTCAGATTTTGCACCTTAGATCTCAGTTCAGTGTATATATTACCAAATATATTTCAAAGCAAGTTTCGAAAGAAAATAATCTTTAAAAATCCAGTTATTAAAGAAAATATATAGGTTAAAGATATGCAAAAGGTAGGCAAAAGTGAGTAGCTTTTCGGTAACATTGTCCTACTTATTTCTTACACACCATACTACTTTTCCTCCATGAATGGTCAAAAAAGAGTTATCTTGTCTAGAGTTCAACCATTTTATCCTCACAACAATCCTGTCGGTTCGATCACTCCGAGAGATAATAATTAACTTCCAATGAAGCAATGGCTAAGGAGACATTTTAATCTGTATCACCTTTGTTTAGAACTTTTCAAATACTTTACCATTATGTCAGAAGCTCAGAAACTTGAATTGGAAACATCTTGATCTCAGACTTGAGTCTCAGTCATAGAAACCCCTGCAGAGAGGATTGATTTGGGGCCTTGTATTAACCATTTATATTCCCTAAAGTTGTTAATGCATCTATTGAAATAAACAGATTTGGGCCAATGACATTTTGCAACAAGAGCCAATCTAGAATGGTTGATAGATTCCGCAACCTCGTAATAAGACTCCCAGTGTGGACCCATTTTATTTATTTTTCTCAGTTTAGAAAAACAAGCCTAGTGGTAACTATACATCCAAAATAAGTTATTCTTTACAGTCATACTTGAGTCCACTAAATGACTCATGTGCAAATATTTATATGTGTATGTGTGTGTGTGTATGTACTACTGCAGAGTGTTTCTAGAATAATGTCAGAGGGAGGGAGGGAGGGAGGGAGGGAGGAAGGAAGGAAGGAAGGAAGGAAGGAAGGAGAGAGAAAGACTGTATTCAACAATAACAGCATATAAACGTAAGTCTGTTTTTGTTCACTCTTTCCAGAAATTGAAAAGTTCCAGAGTTCTGATGAGAAAAAGGAGGATGAAGAGAAGAAATATCTTGATGTCATCAGCAATAAAAATATAAAGCTGTCAGAAAGAGTATTGATTCCTGTCAAACAATATCCAAAGGTATCATAATAACTATATAATATATGATATATTGTATTTTCTTGATAAATGTCTGTAGTTATTGTTCTAATTTGATGTCATGCTCCAAATGCTTCATCAGGAATTGCTCCTCTTGGTTGTTTTGAGTTAAATGGGCACCTTTTTTTTTTCAAACTGGATTTTGGAGAAAACATGCTGGAAGGGGATGGACACAGGGAACTGTGGCATTTAATTTGCATAAAGACAGTCTCAGATTTCATATTTGGAACTACCCATTTAAAGGATCAGGTAACAGATGAACAAAGCTTCTACCTCAAATTTATTTTCTTATTTATTAAACAAATTTATATAGCTATCCGACTCATACATACAGGTGAAACTCAAAAAATTAGAATATAGTGCAAAAGTTCATTTATTTCAGTAATGCAACTTAAAAGGTGAAACTAATATATGAGATAGACACATTACATGCAAAGCAAGATAGATAGTTCAAGCCGTGATTTGTCATAATTGAGATGATTATGGCTTAGACCTCATGAAAACCCCAAATCCACAATCTCAGAAAATTAGAATATTGTGAAAAGGTTCAATATTCTAGGCTCAAAGTGTCCCACTTTAATCAGCTAATGAAGCCATAACACCTGCACAGGGTTCCTGAGCCCTTAAATGGTCTCTCAGTCTGGTTCAGTAGGAATCACAATCATGGGAAAGACCGCTGACCTGACAGTTGTGCAGAAAACCATCTTTGACGCCCTCCATAAGGAGGGAAAGCCTTAAAAGGTAATTGCAAAAGAAGTTGGATGTTCCCAAAGTGCTGTATCAAAGCACATTAATAGACATGGGCTTCAAATGTATTCCTCTTGTCAAGCTGCTCCTGAACAACAAACAACATCAGAAGCATCTTACCTGGGCTAAAGAAAAACAGAACTGATATGTTGCTCAGTGGTCCAAAGTCCTCTTTTCTGATGAGAGCAACTTTTGCATCTCATTTGGGAACCAAGGACCCAGAGTCTGGAGGAAGAATGGAGAGGTGAAAGATGCTTGAAGTCCAGTGTGAAGTTTCCACAGTCTGTGTTGATTTGGGGAGCCATGTCATCTGCTGGTGTTGGTCCACTGTGCTTCATTAAGTCCAGGGTCAATGCAGCTGTCTACCAGCAGATTTTGGAGCCTTCAGGCTTCCTTCCGCAGATGAGCTTTATGGGGATGCTGACTTCATTTTCCAGCAGGACTTGGCACCTGCCCACACTGCCAAAAGCACCAAAACCTGGTTCAATGACCGTAGGATTACTGTGCTTGATTGGCCAATAAACTCGCCTGACCTGAACTCCATGGAGAATCTATGGGGCATTGCCAAGAGCAAGATGAGAGACATGAGACCGAACATTGCAGAACAGCTGAAAGCCGCTATTGAAGCATCCTGGTCTTCCATAATACCTCAGCAGTGCCACAGGCTGATAGATTCCATGCCACGGCGCATTGAGGCAGTAATTTCTGCAAAAGGGGCCCAAACCAAGTACTGAGTACATATGCATGCTTATACTTTTCAGAGGTCTGATATTGTTCTACATACAATCCTTGTTTTATTGATTGCATGTAATATTCTAATTTTCTGAGATTGTGGATTTGGGGTTTTCATGAGCTGTAAGCCATAATCATCTCAGTTATGACAAATCATAGCTTGAACTATCTTGCTTTGCATGTAATGAGTCTATCTCATATATTAGTTTCACCTTTTAAGTTTCATTACTGAAATAAATGAACTTTTGCACAATATTCTACTTTTTCCAGTTTCACTTGGAGGTGATTCAGGCGGCTTACAAAATTTACAGACTCTGAAGGCCAAGGGTAGATAAATGGATGACCAAACTAATCTCCTAAAAGCCAGTTTCCAACTTGATTCAAATCCACATTAGCATCGGTTTCATTTGCATCACTTTGTAAGAATTGCAGGTGTTCTTTCATGCAGAGTTCTTTTAATTTCCAATAAATTGGGGGAATTCAGCCCCATTTGTCCTGAATGCAGAATATGTTGTAGGTGAAAGATGTCTGCTAAGTCATTTACCCCTTGATCATCAGTATGCAAGTTTGTCATTTTAATGTAGAGTATTGTGATGTTTTGTAGCTTTCGGTGTTTGGGACTGGAGTTTTTAAACCTTTCAGTGTTTTGATTGATCTGCACATTTCATATATTTCTGAATTCTAGCTGAAGCAACATTAAATCAGCGAAAAGAGACCTAGAGCATCTTTTTAATCCCCAAGGATAAATTCACCTTTGATTGGTATTAAGTATACTGGCCATTTCTTTTTCCTGAAAAGTGTGGCAAAATAGTAGTTGTTTTTTTGTAACCTGTAACAGTGGAAAGAATGATTGGGTCATTCTTAGTCCAAAGAATGACATAGAACAATCCCATCAAATTCAGTTCTATGCCATTGGCTTATACCATCTAGACAGAATCCAGCTAGTGGTTAAGGCACCAGGCTAAAAAAGCCGGAGACTGTGAGTTCCAATCCTGCCTTAGCTGGGAAAGCTGATTTGATGACCTTGGGCCACTCTCTCTCAGCCCAACCCAACCTCACAGGGTTATTAAGGAAAATAAGAGGAGGAAGGTTGGATATGTTCTCCGCCTTGAGTTATAGAATCAAATAGAATAGAATAGAATAGAATAGAATAGAATAGAATAGAATAGAATAGAATAGAATAGAATAGAATTCTTTATTGGCCAAGTGTGATTGGATAGATAAGGAATTTGTCTTTGGTACATATGCTCTCAGTGTACATAAGAAAAAAAATATATTCGTCGAATCATAAGATACAACATTTAATGATAGCCATAGGGTTATTTGAACCAATAATAAAAGCAGGATATAAGTAAATGGGAGATTCTAGGAAATGGCTAATCTAATTCTCTTCCTCTTTCCATGATTCAAGTCTGAACTGTACTATCTCTTGTCTCTCCCACACACCCACCTGTTCCCTCTTTCCTGGGAGCCTGCTAGTTACTGTAGTCCATAACATCATTTCTCCCTTCATAGACACATTTCATCACAGACTGTTTCTCTTAAAAACCAGACTCACTCCAAATGAGAACACGAAGTTTCCATCGTTGTGAAGAAATTTAAAATGTATTATATAATTTTTTAAATCTATTTTATAGATATTCCCTGCTTCCCAGGATTCACTTTATGTAATCAATTGTTTTCTTCCTATTTACACTGAAGTTACAAAAATACTCACTTCAAAGGAATTCACCACAACTTTAAGGACAATGTCCTTCCCCAAACTTAAAGCCAGTTTGATGGAATGGTTAAAGCACTAGGCTAGAAAATGGGACACTGTGAGTTCTAGTCCCACCTTAGCCATGAAAGCCAGCTGGGTGACTTTGGGCCACTCACATATGCTCTCAACCCACCCCACCTAACAAGGCTGTTGTGAGGAAAACAGGAGGAGGAAGGAGTGTTGGATATGCCTTGAATTATTTGCAAAAATAATAAAGGTGGGATATAAATAAATAAAAATTCCATTATGCAGATTTGGCTAGTAAAAAACAAGGAGGTAGAGGGTATGTTTTAGATAAATAAAAATTGCTCTCTTATTTTTTTACACAAATATTTGTTCTACAGCAGTAATCAAACCCCCCCAAATAGCAAACATGCCATTTATTTCTAGTGTAATTTATCCTGCTGATTATTGACAGATGGAATATAGCCTATTATTAGCCTAGATTACACTCTCTGTTTTTCTTTTTCTTTTTTTTTTAATCAACTCTAGCAATAAATTTCAATGAGTAAAAAATATGTGTGTGAGAGAAAGGTGCATTGATTCCAGTCTGTCATTTGTTTCCTGAATTCTGAATGTACTGTTGTGAAAGAATAATAATAAAAAATGCATGGTTAGAGTACTGTTTGTTAATGCCTTGTTAGGCTTTTTCATTAGTCCTCCACTGACTATATGAAGAGTAGAGCTCTACACGTTGCTCTGATATCTGTTGGTTTAGCCATTGCAGCAACATTAGGATATATTAACCTCTTGGGGCTATGGACCCCTTTGAGTATCTGGTGAAAGCTTCTCATCCAAAATGTATTTAAATGAGTAAAATAAAATAGATAGATATAGATTGCATTGGAAAGGCATCAATTATGCTCAGACACAAATATCAAAATATTAAAAGGCAACAATATAACTTAGACATGCATGCATTTCCCTATTAGCCCATTAATTCAATAACAAGGCGGGCTAGCTTTCAGAGGTTCTGAAAATAAAACTGTATTTTTTTTCTGTATCCAAATTTACAGACTCCCTGAAATTTATCTGCAGGCCCCCAGGGGATCCATGGACCCCAAGTTAAGAACCCCTAGCTTAGACTAAGAACATATCTAGAAATGAAGAATCAAAATGTTCAAATTTGAGCAAAGGAAAATAGCTGAGATAAGAGACAGAAGGAAGGCTTGATGTCCACCCTTTGAGGTAGGCCAAGTCAAGAAAAAAACCCAATAAGAAATACTGGAATTCTACAGAATTTATAAGCGAGCTAGTTTGGTTAGTGGTGAAGGCAACAGGTTACAAACTGGGGGACTGTGGGTTTTAGTTTTGACCTGGGCACGAAGCCAGCTGGGTGTTCTTGAGCTAGTCTCTTTGCTCAGCTCTTGGAAGGAACCAAGGGCAACCCACTTCAGAGAAACCTTGTCAAGAAAACTTATTTAGATGGTTGCTAAGGGACTTGTTTAGGTAGTTGCTAAGAAAGAAAGAAAAAACTAACTTGAAGGCGAGGTAGAAAGACAGGCCAAGGCTAGAGTAACAGAATCTTGAAAGCCTGGTGGTATTGTCCCTTCCCTCCCTTCGCGAGTTTCCAAAAATCAGTCAAGATCAGTGTTTTCATCAGAAAGAGGCTACAAAGGAAGGACTGAAAATAGGGATGAATAAATATAATCGATTCCTTCACACTTGAGTCTGGCTCATAAGCAAGCAAGCAAGAGTAGTGTGCAGTAGGGCAACCTGCACAGCAAGTTCCTTCTAAGGAGAT